TCTCTGAAATTTTCAGATGTTTTCAGAAATTGGCCGATCTTCTATGAAATTTGTTGATGTTTTCTGAAGTTTTCTGAACATACCTGAAATTCAGAAGATTTTCTCTGACATTCTCCAAGTTTTCCTGGTGTTCTCTGATTTTCCTTGAAGTTATTAGAATATTCCTGAAATTGTCTGATTTTATCTGAAGCCCTTAAAATTTTCTTGAAAATTGCAGATATTCTCTGAGGATTTCTAGACTTCCCTAAAGTTATCAGAAAATTTCTGGAGTTCACTGATTTTCGCATTTTTTTTTCTCTGAAGTTCCCAGAATTTTTCTGATGTTCACTGATTTTCTCTAAACTTCTAAGAATTTCCTGGAGTTTTTTTTTCATTTTCTCCGAAGTTCTTAGAATTTTCATAAATTTTTCAGATATTCTCCAAAGTTCTCAGAATTTTCCTGAAGTTTGCTGATTTTCTATGAAGCTCTTAGAATTAACGTGAAATTTACTAATCTTCTCCTAATATCTCTGAATTTACCTGAAGTTTACTGATTTTATCTGAAGATATCAGACTATACTTGGAGTATTCTGATCTTCTCTTAAGTTCTCAGATGTTTTCAGAAGTTTGCTGATCTTCTATGAAATTTGTTGATGTACCTGAACATACCAGAAGTTCAGAAGATTTTCTCTGACATTCTCAGAATTTTCCTGGTGTTCTCTTATTTTTCTTGAAGTTATGCTCCGTGGTTTTTTTCAAAACCTCGCGTAGACGTCTTATCAGAATAAATTCAGAGCTGTGACCTGAATTTGGACGCTGGGGACCACGTAATAGCCCACCGAAAGATCCAAAGCATCCGTAGAAGTGTCCAATTCATGAATCTGGTCCTAGAACTGCGCGGTTTATATGAAACCACTCATAGACGTCTCATCAGAATGAATTCGAAGTTGTGATATACCTTTCTAAAGTAGATTTTGGCTAATTTTTTCTCCTCCGTTTGAGGTACGCATAAATTTTTTCTATCGGTCGCAGCTGGGGGACGTCGGGAAGGTTGGCGGTCTTCCACGATCACGACGTCGCGCTTCATCGGAAAGATATTTCTCACCAGCTCCTTCAGCCGCTCCTACTGAGTGTTTGCCTGCTACTCAGACACGGCCGGCCTCGACTGACGCGTCCGCCTAACAAAGTAATTCTTGTCCAGATACTTGGTCGGTTTACACCTTACCCTCGGTGTTCCTCTTCAGCTTCTGCTGTACTTTACGGCCGCTCAGCACCGTCGGGCGGACGGAACCAGGCTTCCGTTCGACGGTCTCGCCTTTCTCCGAAAGGGAGAGGATGTTGTAAATGCCGGATCGGCTATATCCGGTGGACACGAAGTGCTTCACGATGTCCATTTGCTTTGCTCTGGGGTGGATCTGGCAATACGAACAAACCATCGAGCGTAGTTGCTTGACTGTTTTCGCCATGGCTGCTGCAAATCAACTGATAACGCTTTTTTTTTTTTTTTTCTGTACACAACAGGGTTGCTATGATTGGCAATGCATAGGTGGATTCCCCACCAGGTGGCAGGGTAATCGCGAGAAAAATCGTTAAATTCAGTCAATTTGTTTAATGTATACGTTACTTTTCTTCAAAATCTTGACTTTGTTTTTGCTGAATCATTTCTCTTTCAGTTGCAGTAATTTTTTTTGACACATGGAGCAGTTTAAAATCAGCCTTTAATAAAGAAGGATTTTAATTCAACGAATGCAGAATTGTAGGATTATAAAATACAGGTTCTCTTGTTTAATAGCCGTCTTAAAAACTGGAAAACGGTATTCCAAAACAAAACAAAATTTTTATCTTAAGCCCTTATAATTTTTTTAAAAATTAAAAGGTGTTCTCTGAGGATTTCTAGACTTCTTTAAAGTTATCAGAAAATTTCTGGAGTTCACTGATTTTCGCTTTTTTTTTCTCTCTGAAGTTCCCAGAATTTTTCTGATGTTCACTTATTTTCTCTAACTCACTTCCTGAAATTTTTTGATATTCTGCAAAGTTTTCAAAATTTTCCAGAAGTTTGCTGATTTTCTCTGAAGTTTTCTGAATGTTCGTGAAGTATGTTGATTTTTTCCGAAGTTCTTAGAATTAACGTGAAATTTGATGTTCATCTCCTAGGTTCTCAGAATTTTCCTGAAGTTCACTTATTTTCTCTGAAGTTATCAGAATATTCCAGAAGTTTTCTGATCTTTTCTGATTTTTTTATGATTTTTCCTGTCCACATTTGGCCATGTAACGGTACTAGCGGGAAAGTGGCCTGTTTCTCATTAGCGTCAAAATTTATCATGCGATCATCACCTGAGAATTCGTTAACCAGTTATATAGTAGTCATTTGGAGTGCCCAGGACCACACTGGTCACATCCGGCCATGTTTCGGGTAACCTTGGGGAAGTTGCCAGTTTCTAAATTGGTTTAAAATCCATTATGCGATTCCTCAATTATCATGCGAATTCAAAGAACAGTTCAGAGGTAATCATTTGGAATGCCCAGGACCACGCTAGACCCATCACAATAGAGTTTGCTTTAGAAATCCTTGAGAACTATCTTTAGATTCAGATTCCATTTGAGTTATGAGAATAATTTTTTGTTCCCTTGATTTGTTTTCCGTCGATCTTGTTTTCCGTGCTGAGCACCGAGGCGCGTGACTGACTCCGTAGCTGGTGCTGATGTTCTCAATCAACCGATGGACTTCGACCGGTTAATGCTGACTCCTCGATCTACGTGTCGTTGGTATCGATGCTCGGTGGGTTGTTTACGCTGATTTGACGATATGCTATCTGGTGCACTTCTGGTGATGTTGAACCGATGGGTGGTGTGATCGAGTGGTGAGATCGATTGGTCTCTGGACTCTGTTTATGCTGATGGTGTAGGTCGCTGACTTGGATTATGAACTGTGACTATGGTTTGGTGATAGAATAGTCGTCTTGGAGAAGATGTGCTTGATAACTTATGTATACTGAGCAAAATATATGTATAGAACCACCCTACAAATTTGGTTTTTATCTGATAAATACTAGAAATTTGAGAGCAAATTCAATGTGTTGCAATAAATGTGTGTTTCCCCTTTAAAAATATAGAATTTTAACCGGCATACTGAAACAAATCTCATCACAAGTTTAGCAAGTAGATATGCCCTCCAGAAACCCGGAACACCTTCAGTTGTGGTGACCATGGATGTTTCCCTGGCTATACCATTAAATAATATAGGGGAAATTGATGTAAAGTCGGCCTTAATGCCCCTAATTAGGGCCCATACATAAATTCAGCAATCGACTAAATTTTCAATAGCGACCAAATATATCCATTAGTACTAATACAATTGATAAATAGCAGATTTTTAGCTACGGGCCCAATCTTAGATCCAAAGGCCAACATTAGAGCTATTTACCCTACCTTATTGCATTGTTTTTCTTTTCAATTCTGCATCTTTTACATCACCTACACCTTCACTAATTCATTTCCATTATTTACTTTCACTTTCACTTTAAACAAAACTAATCTATTTGCAAGTAGTAAGGGAAATATGTATCTGTTATTGGTTTTTTAAGTGATGGTGAAAGTGAAAGTAAAACAATAGTAGTAGAATTGAAAAGAAGAACGTTATAAGGTTTTACAATTATTTACCAATAAATTTGGATATTAAATAATAAAAGTTTCTCAGTTCAATGCCTCTAAAACAATAATGAAAAACCGGTCAATATTTGACGATGTTTTGCCATTCCTAAGTTGAACAAAAGTGTGCCTACCCTAGGTATTTTGAGGTATTTTAGGACCTAAGATAGCCTAGTCAATAAAGGTGGGTTCGATTTCCGGTCCGGTTGAGGAAATCATTCCGGTTGGATATGCTGTGCTCGCCACAAATATATAAATTCATGCATTGGTTGGCATAGACAGCTCTCAGTTAATAACTTAATAACTGTAATGCACTTCCATCGAGAACACTAAGTTGAGAGCCGGCAAAACGCTCGCAAAAGAAGCATAACTATCCCCTATAGACAGTTCAGGTTAATTTGTTTGTTCGGTTTTACATGGGTGACTGTTTTCAACACCCCCTGGGGAGGTTTTGTATCTCTTATTAACTGTCTCAGTAGTAGATTATGTGTGTCAGAAGAATGTATCGGTAAAATGAATGAGAGATTTCTAATGTGACTTTAAGTAGGGTTCCTAAACCATGAATTTACCTCAATTAATGTTAGCTCTCTTTCATGCGAGTATTAGCTCGCCTATATTACCAACGAAAAGAAAAAAGTTTAAATTAAATAAACAAATACCAAACAAACCACGGAAGCATATCAAGCGATTTTCTGGGATTTACATTTTCAAGTGATAAGCGAACCGATTTGTCTCCTCCTAACCTACAACCGAAAGCTGCAAAAGTTTACCACGAAGAGCAATGAGGCGTACCGGAATCGGAAATCTTCCCCACACATAAACTCGATTTCGACAGCGCAAAAGTATCGAACCTTAGCGGAAAAATTCATTTTAGTCATATGATTGATGAGGTTATTCTCATTTCTTTCCCGCACCCAAAGATTCAGTTACGCCATTTGGTTTGTAACACCATCCATGATGATTTACTTTTGACGTACTCCCGTTTTTTTTTCCGCTCCCTTCGTTGCTTTTCCTCCTAGAACAAACTCGTCTTAGGCAGTGACTGACTGTTTGCTTATCATCATATTTTTTTTTGCGAAGGCATTTCCACAAATCCCACGCACATATTCGATTTTTACTTTCTTTTTCGTTTGATGTATTGCTTGGTCTTACGTGGTGTGATCCTCCCGCTCGTTGTTCCCACGAATTTGCAATTTTTCATTTTTGATTTTCAAGTCTTATCCCTTTTTTTGCTTGATACTATTGCTTCCGAATGCCGAAAAATTTCTTATTTTCTATGAACTTTACTAAACAAAAGCCTAGTTTCCATTTCTCGAACTACCGTGATTTGCAGAAAAATCCAAAACCAAACAATCGTTTTCCTCCTTTTCCAGCTCGTCTGCGATGGGATTGGCTGACTCCTCTGCTCCCCTGTACTCGAGGCCAAGGTAGGTGCCATATCAACACATGTGGTCTGAAATTGAATGATTGTATTTTAAATATGGAAAATTATTATGGTTTCGTGGTTTCGACTTTCACCTTGATGACATTTTAGCTATTTGCTGCCATTGGAATTGATCTTGACGTCGTTTTGAATTAAATTATTTATTGTTGAACAGGAAATGCTCGATGGAAGAGAACAAATAAGGCTTTTTATGAAGAACAACAGTTTTGCAAAATTATTCGAAATTTTTAGAAAAGTGATTTATCATTCTTCAAAAGAATGCAGCAGAACACTTCATATTTTCTAAAATTGGATCCTTAAATGCATCGAATCGTTAATTAATAGCTTGGCAAGTTGATACATTAATTCTGTTCTACCCTGAGACTTTCAGAAACTCTGATGAAAGGTACTGATCACTATCTCGAAAAAATAAATCATGTGTGCTGCTCAACAGGCAAGGCAGGCAGGTTTTCCTGAAGCAGCTATTCGAAAAATTTCAAGCATGACACGTCAACGATAAATATATACACCTGTGTTCAATATAAAAGCAGCGCATGTCGACTTCCATTCAAGTTGTAACTTTGTTCTCTTAAGATCAATTGAGCTGAAACGTTCGCCACAGAACTAAAAATGTGTTAAATTTTACGATTACAAAATACTAAATTGTTGGAAGCACCTGCCGGAAAGTGAGACAGTAGGTAAAATTGTTCAAAATAATAGCAGTACTAATAATTTGTATTTCAGCTCAGTTTTGAGATTTCAAATTTTACATTTCTCAAAATTCTAACAATCCCCACCCAATTACCAAATGTACATAATATTTAAAAATGTTTTATATATTTGCACTACATAAAAATTCAAATCAAAAACTGTTATTATTTTGAACAATTTCATCTAGTGTCTCCCTTTCCTACCGATGCTTCCAAAAATTTAGCATATTATAATCGTAAAATTGAACATATGTGTAGTTCTGTGGCGAACGTTTCAGCTCAATTGATCTTAAGAGAACAAAGTTATAACTTGTCAAAGTTGACCATTTTAGTGGACATTTTATACTATAGGTTTGGAGATAAAAGCATAGAGTTTCGTTATAGTACGGCAGTGTGAAAATTGTATAAGTTGAAAGTTGAACCGAGTAAAGGCCAATTTTGAGGAAAGTACGAATCAGATTTACCAAACTCATCCGTTGATGTGAATCGTTAACTTCACGCATGAAGTTGATTAGTTGACATTGTTAGTTAAAGTACATATCCCCAGATGGGGGCTTACCATCAATCAAACGGTCATTGGTCTAAAGGTACAGTAGAAGTGCCTCCATTACCCGTGTTTCCTTGAGATCGTTAAGCTGCCGATGACAGGAGCACATACAGTGACCTGTCTTTTTGCCAGTGGTGGCAGGTGGAAATACCCCACCCTCATCCTTCATCAACGGCTGAGTTTGGTAAACAGAATGCTCGATCCGATTCGTACCTTCCTCAAAATTGACCATTGCTCGCTTTCTACTTTCTGTATACAATCTTCAGACTGCCGTACTCTAACAGAACTATCAACTGTATACTTTCATCTCCTCATCTATCCTGTAAAATGTTCTCTTAAGTCTGATATTTCACGTTAAACATGTCCAACTAGAAAAATACATGTTTGGTTTAATGGTTCATTGTGGTAGTGCCATGTTCATAATTAAAGCACAAGGCTTTAAAAAAAAAGCGACTCACAATTACTCAAGTGGTTTCCAGTAAACCTAGTTGAACAACACATTGAATAGTCTTTCGTGAGTAGTAGTATTTACATACCTGTGCTTGCTAAGTACACAAGGCGAAGTTCATGCAAACGATGGCGGAACTGACAGATTCCATCGAAACTCGGTTTTCATCACTCACCAATCAGATTCATCAAATTCTGAATCAACAATGCGATGTTACAACAGCCGGAGTAGATTTCATAACTATCGGATCGAGAAGCAAAGGGACGGTGCATTACGATCAATTGCGGTTTGGAGGCAATTAGATCGTCCTCATGCAGCGATTCAATGGCTCGGTGCACTTCAATCGAACCAGGACCAAGTAGCGTGATGAGTTTGGCATGGTCGGGCAGGAGTACAGGTTCGGCCTAGAATGGATGCACCAACTGACGAAGAATACTTTGGTATAGCTCATCGTTGATTTGGAGACTTCCAGGGTAGCTTCCAATATGAAAGGTTCGATCAGTTTGCTATAAAGCTTGGGACAGATATGGATCGTTCCACTTTCAGTTGAATGACTGTGAATTCACTAGTCCGCCACAGTGGGCAGCGATTTACAACCTTCGATGGCTCATTTCAGACTGGCGAATGAGGCTCCATCAAGCATGCTGATTCAGGAGCGAGAAGGAATAACGTTTGGGGCTTCCCTAACCTCAGCCGTTAAAGGTGCAGCTACAAATCAAGACCATGCTAGAGGTGGTTAAGTTCGACTCCCGGTTCGAAAAAAAGAAGATGAAAGAATAACTAGAAAGCTTGGCTATCGATATGTTGGACAAAGTTCTTGAAAGAAGATTGAAAGATGCCGCTAAGTTTTGTGAGGATGATGATTCGACCGAAAATGACTCAATAAATTTGCTGATATATTATAAGAATTTAAAATTATATGGGAAATCCTTCGTCAAAGTCATCACAATTTCAACTCAATATTGAGTCGGATTTAACTCAACATTGCAAAAAGTGGGATAACTCAGGGGATGAGTAAAATTTTCCACGATTTTCCTCAAAAATCGAGCAAAATTATTAGTCATTCACATAGTAACTTTACTTTATGCAATTTTGAGTATAATTCGACTCAATGTCAGTTACTCTCATCAACCGTGTATGCAATACCTTGCTTTTGCAAACACCCAGAGCGATATCCTTGGTCCTCCATGAGCACAGTTCATGTCTCTTTGTTGTCTTAGAAGTACCGTGCAAATCAGCATTTCGACCATCTGGGTTTCATCGTGTGAGGTTAACATTCACTTCTCTCGAGCCACTTCGTTTCGATGGATTAATGACAAGTTCAACCTGATTGGCTTCAGACTTAATGGGGTGTCTACATATATGCTGATTCCCTAGCTCAACCAGCTCAACCAACTAGCTCAAATTTCAGTTGCTTTTTAAATCTCATGCTGGTAGCTGCTGACGCCCTGTTTAGATTATGCTTATTACTTTTTAGTACAGTTCTAGTACACTAACACCAGCACACTAGCAAAAGTATAAACAGCTCATAAGTCTTATGTACGTTTTCGGCATATATTTAAATTTCCATGCCATGCTTTAGATGTCATCGGCAAAGCCAATAAGCTGCACGGACTATCCCTGCACTTCAGATCTCTGGTGGGATTGAACTCAGACACACGCTAAACCACCGGCACCGGGCTGATTTTCTATCAGAGACGTGTTGGGTACCCGTGATCTCTGCTATTTGCAGTCGATTTATGTGTTTATGTAAATGTCTAATATAAGAATTTAATTCGTTTTTTGTTTTTGTTTGTTTTGTCCCCCGTCTCGATGAGTCTCATCGTCGCCCACTGTTCACCATAGCCGATCGAACTCCAGACGAATCTAGAACCACACTACCGTTCATACTGGCGACATCGCTCTGATGAGACAACGAAACCCTACCCCCAAGCTCGTCTCCTTTTCCTAACCTTCGACAATGTACCCTTCTAACCTCAGGTAATCCACGAGTATTCAGCCCCACGCCTACTAGACATAGAATTAAGTGAATTTTGTTACATACAAAGCACAATGAATTATCGGCTCCGTAATGCTAACGCGATTGAGCCTTACAAATAAACGAACTAGATAAAACAAAATGCTGATTTTCGCTATCCTCCTGATGCCAGCATCAGTTCACACAGTTTCAATATCAATGTCACTCGCTTCATGTCAGTGTACAAATGACATTGATATTGTAATGGGACCTACTGATACTCAAAGTTCTGCAGCAAATTTTACTCATATACGCCAGCTGATCATTAGAAAACTTATCTGTTCTTTAAAACAAAATGTAATAGAACTAAAAAATAGTTTATTCATAGAGATAAAAGTAAGATTTTCAACTTTTCCCTACTGATATTCATATTCAAAGCCGTTCCGCCTGATGTCATGCTTATTACGAATATCAGTGTCGGAAGTGAAATGCATTGCTGGAGCATTACCCAAAGTCAATTGAAATTATTGACACCACGCATCACTGCTGCCATGATCTTCATGCCGTTTGAAGAATACCTTCTCATCATCCAAATTGCTTCAAATTTTGGGAAAGTGTTTTTGAACCCTCAAACAACCATCCGAGCCATCTGCAATTGAAATTCCAAACTTTGACTTTTTTTTCCAGATTATAATGGACCACCCTAGGAAGTTTTCAATGGGATTCAAGTCAGGGCTTTGAGCCGACCATTCCAATAGTTTGATACATAAAGTAGGCAGAAGTTTTGTGAGTGGTATGCTTGGGTTCGTTGTCTTGCTGAAAAATAAACATTTTATCTATGCCAACTTTACGGAATGAATCCTTTAGATTTCTTTTCAAAATGTTGATGTTGGAGTCTGCCGTCATTATTATATCTATTTAAACAAGATTTCCTACACCAGACCACGCAAAGCTTCCTCACACCATAATGTATGCCTGTATGCCTGATTATGCTCAAAGTGCACTTTTTTGCTATAACTACAGAAAAACAATATGTATCGCTTTCAAAATTGGGCTGTGAACAGTTAACATATAGGGGAATTTACGTATTCTCGTCAATCTAAGCAACGTCTGCACTTCTACTAGCATTTTCTCAGCGTCACGCACATATATGATGTGTCTGTTTGTTTACATTCATCTGCTGCTTGCTTCTCTATCCATTCCAATCGACAGAATTTTTCAAAACGTTTTAAAAGCGTTTTTACAACGCTCCAAACTTCTCAGGTGAGTGTGACTATTGTCGGCAGCCTCTTTTTCTTCGGCAACCTTCCCATTAGAACTGCGTGTTAACCAGCTGTTCTAT